GATCACCTCCATGCCATGCCGAATTGAGGCAGTAATTAAAGCAGAAGGAGACCCTACCAAGTTATTGAGTACATGTACAGTAAATGAACATACTTTCCAGAAGGCTAAAAATGTTTTTTTTATTGGTCTTAATAAGTATTCTAATTTGTTGAGATAGTGAGTTGGTGGGTTTTTGTTAAATGTGAGCCAAAATCATCACAATTAAAAGAACCAAAGACTTAAACTACGTCAGTCTTTGTGCATTGAATTTATTTAATGCACGAGTTTCACAATTTGAGTTGAATTACTGAAATAAATGAACTTTTCCACGACATTCTAATTTATTGAGATGCACCTGTATTAGATCATATTTGATTAAATAATTTGCATTACTTAATAGAACTGTAGTTTATTCATAGAAGCATTTTTTCCGGATTTTCATTTAAAAAATTTTTTTTTTAGCTTTAAATATGTTTCCTAGAACTCTATATTGAAGCTTTTTTATTTAGCTTTTGATTTTTAAGCAATAATTTTTTTTTATTTTATTTTTTTTTAAGAAAATGAATGGCAATAAAACTAAGGCCAATGGAAAAAAGCAGACAGTCACTATTGTTCTATGCACAGAGATGTCCATGAGTGATCATGTAAATCTCTTTTTCTTCATAATAAACTTCCTCTCTCCATCTAAAACTTGTCAGATGATTGTCAGATTTTTTTTGGCAGAACACATAATAAACTCTATGACTTCAAGGAATTCCTAAAATCCCTTCCCAGATTGCAATATTTAAAACTCCAGAAGCCAGGGCTAAAAAAAAATATCTAAAAAATATCTACCTCACTATGTGGAAATATTAGCATAATGCAGCCCAAATGTGCACGCAAAGAAAGAAGGCGTGGTTTCTTAAAGGGGTCATATGATGCGATTTCATTTTTTCCTTTCTCTTTGGAGTGTTACAAGCTGATTGTGCATAGATAAGATCCCTGAGAGAGAGCGCGAGAGAGAGAGAGGGGGGGTCACATCACAGTGGAGTCAGCTGTCTTAACCGTGGCTTGTGTACACATACCAGCTTCATCACTGTGTCTGTCACGCGACTCTGTTCCCCTCGGGCTCTGTCTTTGCATGTATTTTGAAAGATGAAGCTGGCGATTATGGAAAGGGGCGTTACATTTCCGACGCGTGCTTGCGGTGTTCGGCCAATCACAATGCACTGGGTCAGCTGGCCAATCAGAGCAGACTGCGCTTGTCGGAAGGAGGGACTTTGTAGAAAACGAAGCGTTTGAGAGAGGCGGGGCATAGAGGACCTACAATAATGTACAGTATTTGAAAAATAATGTGTTTTTTGAACATTAAAGCATGTCAACATATTCTGTTACACCAAATACACAGAATAATGATCTTTAAAAAAGCATCATATGACCCCTTTAAGATTCATGTCTCACACCAATCCACCACGTTTGTAGTTTTTTAACACGTTTTATTTGTATTTGTAGTTCTAATCGAATCCTCGTCCAATGTGAAATTTAGAGTTTTGAATTTTGAAAATTCAAATTTCCACCATAAATAGTAAACCGTCTGGGTACCTTTGGGATACTCATTTCAATATATCACAATTTACACACTAATTCTAATTTCAGACAGATAGTATGCAAATTGGGTCTTATTCTTGCATTGTTAAGTCATTAACAATAGTCAGTTATAAGAATAATTAAACAGAAATATTATGTAAGTAACTACATTTTATGTAAGCCATGCCATTTTGAGATGACATTGCAGTGGTCAGATGGTACAAGTCAGAGCTCTCAGTTTTTAAGTTGTAATTATGAGTTCTATGATGACATGAGCACATTTTATAAGTTAAAATCATCATTTTGTGAGTCTTTCATGGTAATTCTGACATTATTACATTATATCCGGTAATTCTGGCGTGAAAGTACCTTTATACTACACTGGTTTCTTTGTATGTGTTTATGGTATTAATTGGAAAATCAGTATTTTTACTGAACCCTAATCATGCAAGCAACACTCATGTTTTCTTCAAAAAATATAAAAACTCTTTCAGTAGCAGTATGAAGTTCCTGTGATGCACATTTGTGGTTTCCATTGCAGAAGATCGGGTCAGAACTGACACAAAGCACGCATGCAAGGTTTCACATTTCTCTTTTAGTGCGTAGTCTGAAATCCCAACCCCACGCAGCACAGACAAACTGTCAGAATGCGTCCTTGCTAATTCGTTCCAGGATGAGTGTGTTTGCTCACAGGTCCACACACACAAGCTCACTCTGACATGGCATCTCTCTGTAAAACACACGATCCCAGCAGAAGCATGCTGAAACGTCGAGTTCTGCGAATCCCTGGAATAGTCAAGAGATCCCTGACATGCTTGGCACCTTGTACAGCTTTGCAGTTGACATAAATTGATGTATTAGTGGTTACACCACTCGTGACCTTATTCCTAATTTTGGATCCAACCCACCCCCACTTTCCAACCAGCATTATCCCCCACAGGTGTCACACTGAAGGACTTGTGGAGGCTGATCCCAAATCAGTGAGTTTTGATGGTATGATGGGGCATTAACGATAAAATTGGTGAGCAGGACATGGATTCGGCAAAGTTTGATAAAGTCTGAAAATAGGCGAAACAAAACAAGTGCTGGAGGACGAGAAAGGGAGCCCAAGCGAGAGAGTGTTGGGGGTGTGCTGGGAGCTTGAGGGACGTGTGTGGATGTCATCTGGCCATCAGTCATGCGGAGAGGCCCCCGGGGGCCAGTGCTTATACCAAAAGCAGCTGCGTGGAAAAGAGCCTTAGGAGACTACAGTAGTTTCATGGCCTGTCGCATCCTCGAACCTCTCCAACATCAACAACCCCTACACCGCACATTCCTGCTCAAACGCTCCGTAATCTGTCATACAACACGCTGTCAGCTGAGAAATACTGAATACTTGTGTTATCGAACATGGCTAATGTTTTATTTTATGCTGCTCTGTAAATTTCAGAGTTACATCCAAGCAGATTTTGCAACTGTATGTATCTAGTTTCTGTAGATAGAGCTGACAATAATGATTTAATGAATGATTCCGGTTGCTTTCCTACTTAATTTGAGGTTAAAAATGTGGTTTATAATATATTACTGACATAACTCATTTTGTGAATCTTTAAATACACATTGTCAAATGAACAACCAGTCGTTCACAACAATAAACAATGGTTTAAGTCTCACAATCCTTAGGCACAATGTAACAGTAAGATGTAAGTAGTAAGCATATATTCGATCCGCTAAAAAGAATCATCATTCATTTGGAAATCGGACTATACTGGTTGTGAAATGTTTTGACTCACTACAAAGAACCAGTTCGTTTGAGTCATATGTTCGGGAATTGAACTATACTGGTTGTGCTGTATGTTTGACTCACTAAAAAGAACTGTCTCGTAAGAGTCATTCGTTTGTGAATCGGACTCTACTGTTTGTGATGTATGTTTTGATTTGCTAAAAAGGACTGATTCATAAGAGTCAGCTTGGGAATCGGACTGTTGACTCACTACAAAGAACCAGTTTGTAAGAGTCATACATTTGGGAATCTGACTTGCACTGTGTTTTGATGTGCTTAAAAGAACCGTCTGGTTAGAGTCATTCATTCAGGAGTTGAACTACTGATTGCGCTGTATGTTTTAATTCAGTAAAAAGAACCATATGATTAATTCATTCAGGAATGATTTTTGTGCTGTACATTCAAATACATGTATGAGAACAGTTAATGTCATTGGGTATTTGTTAATAATGGCACCTGTTCGGAATAAAAGCAAGTTTACTTGTGATGTATTTTTGCATTACAAAAGTAAATGGCAGAGCAAAGAGGACACTGACAACACGCCGACAGTCAAGACAGAGCAGGTGACTTCTGGTATGAAACCGTGTCAGCTTTCAAATTTTGTCTTGAGAAATTCAAACAATAAATACCGTTTTGTGGCTCTTTAATGTGTCGTGACAGATCATGATCATCTCTTCCTCTTTACTAGTTATAGCACGAAATAAACATGAATGAACATCAGCAGATATCTTGTTTCAACCGGAAAGCGGAAAGATGTCAGTACACACCATTTTTCAAATTCTAGTCCACCAACATTAATCTACTCTCCTGTCTGTTTTTCTTTTTTTGTCAGCCAAAATGGCAGATTCTGCGTTATGATTGGTCAGATCACCTGTCAATCAAATCCCAGCCTATAGGGTCAATTGCTGTGGACTGTAGACCAATGATATATGAAAATATATATATGAGAATAAAAATATCAATGATTTATGACTTTGCTATAATAATGTCTTTGAATTTAATTTAATTGATCTGTTCATAACTGTGAATAATCACCATATTTTGAAATTAATTACTAGCTTGAAAAGACTGTAATTGCTAACTCTTGCTTTTATATGTTTTCTCATCACATCTGAAGGCTGTTCGCCGGCAGCATCCCCAGAGTGACGTTCATCAGCATGGGAGGCTTCATTTTCCTCGGAGCATATGAGAAAGTGCGCCGTACGCTTTTATAAACACCGTCGTCATGGACGGTGTGGGTCAGTTTGTACTGGACCCGTTTCCTCAACCCAAACTCTGACTGTTCAGCCAAAACTGCAAAACAAGGTCAGAGACCAGGAGCAAACAGTAAACTACAGATGAGTGGAGGTTGGTCAAATCTGACCGAGAAACGCACCCTCTGTCCCAGTTTGAACCGGTGGTCTTGAGGGCCACGGCGAGGACACTGGTGCCTGGATAAAAAGATCACATAACACAGTGGTTTGCATTCTTGATCATCGGTGCACAACAGATTGAGTTTAACTGCCTGAATTCCACTTATGTTGCACCACAGATCGAGTTCAAACTTAGATGTCATTTTTGCAAGCCTACATGGATCTATTAAAAAAAGTATTTTTACAAAAGTGAATCGGCTATTTGTATTAAGACATGACTGCGCTGGTATTTATATACTAAACTCAAGTATGCACTAATAGGTAACAAGTTTAATGGCGCTACCAATATTACTCCAGTGGATTATTGTAACATGTTGAGTCTAGACTTTGATCCCCAAGCTTAAGCTAGTTGCTCTACCTGCTTCACTATTATTAGCTGAAAAACACACAGTGAGTCAAGCAGAATGCAGAGAAAGACAGATAAGTCCACAGGTGTGAATGTTTCTCAGACCTGTCATGAAGTTCAGGGCACAAGAACAATACTGGAGCCAGCAGTGGGCCTTCCAGTTCTGTGGCTCTCAGTGGTATGTGCTTTCTGTCCAAACACACAGCTCAAACAATACTGCTGAACGAGTGAAGATCAACAGATCACAAGTGATATCGTTGTTTTATAAGTAAATGTGTAAAAGTACACAACTGTTTTTAACATTGATAATAATCCGAAATGTTTCTTGAGCAGAAAATCAGCATATTAGAATGATTCTGAAGGATCATGTGACACTGAAGACTGGGGTAATGATGTTGCAAATTTTATGTTTAGCTACATTTGCAACCCTGTTAGTCATTCCAGTGTACTTTTGTCATTTTACACATTTACTTATAAAACAACTAAATCACTCGTGATCTGTTGATCATCGCTCGTTCATCAGTATTGTTTGAGTTGAGTGTTTGGACAGAAAGCACATACCTATGAAAGTATGTAAAATAGAAGACCATTTTTATTGGAGACCAGCACACGCAGCTTGAGTTTTCTAGAGACGCTCTTTCCCTTTCGTGATTTGGCAGCATTCAGCTTACGAACGTCTAATGTCACTGTTAGAAAGTCATTGTTAGAACGAATCTCTCTAAATATTATTTTTGGATAATTTGTTATTTCCCCAAATATGTTAAAAAAAGACGGTCAACAAATACATTTCAAAATTCATTTCAAATAGCAGGTATGTAGGTGAGTGAAGCAGCTTTTGGTGACGTGTAGCTTTGTTAACGGAAGAGCCTCGACTGCCTCAGAATCTCAAGATGTAAAAATGTTTAGTTCAAATAATG